TCAATGGGACAAATAACAATAAAGAATCAGAATACGAATCTGTTTACTGAGGATATTTCTAGTATGAGAAAAAATTAGGATAAAAACTATTGAAAGGAGATTGGAAAAAATATTATCTGATAGATGTCATTCTCAATGGGTAAGAATACCTGACGGAAAAGTCTTTGGTCCCAGCCACAATTATAATCTATGTCCGTCGATACGATGTTAATCTACATATCAGTTGACAGCACCGGTCTATATTTGCCACTCTAGACACAGGTGAAGCAAATATGTAATTGGTAGGAGGAAGTTCCTTGAATGCAGTTAACACCGTCTTATTACCTATTACTGGGTATGAGTTCCCGGTTCGTATATAGAGAGAGACTAAAAACTATCAATAAATTATCTGAAAGCGACACGGTCATAACCATTTCAAATTAAATCCACCTAAGAAAATCTTCACTACTCCCATTGTATTGCTTCTAGAAATTATGTTCAGACTTCGTAATGCCTCGGTCACAAATGCCATTACGAACTGCTACGAACGCCGTACGAACGATTTTCAGACAATGGAAATTCGGGAAGACAATGGAAAAGTAGGGAGATTCGTACGAAATTATCGTTCGTACGAACCTTTGTGACCGTAGCATAACATGTCTTTTTCATGATTGTTCAATACTTTCAATATCGCCTTCGGTTGATTTTTCGAAAGTCTTTGTGATCGTGGTAAGTATGTGTATCTGTTACCGAATATGAGAGAACAAAATAAAGTCCATCCACCGAGAAGAGAAAAAAAAAACGACATTCAATTCGGAGAAAAGAAGCAAATGATGTGAAGCGATGCTGAGGGATTAGGGATGAGGAAGATGCGGATGAGGGTATCTTCCTCCAGATCGATCCCGGTGGTATCCAAGCATTATGCCGGCATCTATGGAAATGAGCTGGTCTCAAGAGGTTTGGAGACAAGGCGGCAATGATGTTTACTCCACTCACAGGTGGTTTAGCATGCAAACTCTCTGACATGCACACAGAGAGAGAACATGCCAGAGAAATGGTGTACTATGAAGATGTCTATATAGGCATGCAAGCCACGTGCTTCACTATCTCATCATCTTCTATCTATCTATCTATCTATCTATCTACCAATCTTCTTTCCACCTTTATTACCTTTATTACATTTTTTACCAGCGGCCACTGGAATATTTCCTCATTTTGCATTCGTAGTAAATTTACAGTTATGTGTACTGGTTTTAACTAATTCGGTCGAAAGCCTTTTTCATCTACAGTGTGTTGATTTTTAATTAATATATTAGCCCTTAAATATTTAACAAAATAAAAGTTTTCATTATATAAAAAAATGTTTGAGGTACATGTGTTATTAAAAGACGAAATATTGAGGGGGAGAAATTCACAACAACATCAAAAATGCTTTTACTCTTTAGCATATACATAGACTTTTGAATATAGACGTACAACCTTCAAAAGGAATTTTCTTACAAATTTGCCGACCTTACGATTGGCAACCCAAGCATTTCGAAAATAAAACAATCCAGATGAAGAAGATTTGAAGATGAAAGATACACGTATCTACATAACATGAGATAGGAGAAGCCCAATGACATCTGAATACGACCAATTTACCTTTCCGATTTGCTTCCTAAAATCAGAAAACAATCAGAACGGCTAGATTGATTGGAATCTGAAAGGGATATGGAGAGGAAAAGTGGAATAAGTAAAAGAAAAAGAGGGGTAGAAACAAACTATCTGCAAACGGGAGGAAATAGAAGATGTTTCTATACGGTTTTCCGGTAGGCCAATTTTCGGGCGCCGTTTTCATAAATGAAGGCAAATTGAGCTTTGATTACCTCGATCTTCATGTACATGAATACCCAATGGAACTCGCATGCAGAGTGAGATTTGTGACGTCACCAGATATGATATTGATAAAAAGTTATCCGTGGCGTTGTTTGTGGTTTTGTTTCGTGCGTGCGTTATATACATTATACGTACAAGCTTGTGTGCGTGTTGTTCTCATGTATAGGGATTTACGCCGTATATAGATACGAGATGCAGAGAATATTAATGTTGAGAGAAACTTATGACGTAACAATGCGTATTTCATTACAAAAACGCTACGTGACATCACCCCTATGAGCCACCCCCTCGTTTCATGTTTTGTAGGTTCTACATTATTTTAGCAGTTTTATTCATTCATAAATTCAGTACTTCAATATAGGATAAGCAAGTGTATACATCAGAATAATATCCTTTAGAGAGAGCGGAAGAGGGAGAGAGATTGACACTGTGTGGCCTTTTCGAACAGAACCAATTCGTATAGAATCCAAATTACTAGTGATGCCTCTTTCTTGCCCAACCCAACACACGAACAAGCCATATTTCTTTGTAAAGCAAATGTTTCTGCATTTATTGATAAATCAAATATAAAACATTCAAATAACAATAATAGTATATAATATAATTGATTTACATAAAGATACAACTTAAATACAAACACATAAAAATACATAAATATATATATATATATATATATATATATATATATATAAGTGAAAGCTTGACGTATGGAGGTAAGTAAAATGGTCAAGATAAATACAGAGACCAACTATCATAAGCAAGAATGCTTGAGTCGATAGCAGCCGGGAAGGCCGGAAGGGGAGGGGTAATTTACTGTTCTTGTTTAAGTACATGTATTTACAATCCATCCATGAAAATAGTTCGTAGGAGGTACTTTCAAATTTAATGATGCATATCCATTTTGTTTAGAAGTATTATATCATCGTACAAAAGAGCTAATTATTAATTTAAAATATATTATGAACCTTAAATTAGACCATAATTATGTAGTCATAATGCATACAAACATATCCGTTATACGTGTACAGAATAGTGTTACACTAGGTTAACCACACCGACACAATTTTTGCGAAAAACCATCTAGGAACAAAATTTCTTGAAATGTATGCCAATATGAACGCACCAATGTGAAAGGTTTGATATGCATCGAACAGTGTCTAGTTTGTATGTGAACGTCTTTCCTTTAAGACTGGTCAAAACGCTGAACTTCGTCCTGTGATAGACTCAAAGTCAATAGAGCCTCAAACAATGTTTCATTTGAAAATAGACTATGACGATATCTTAATCGTGTCTCCATTAATATATCAGTCATGTCGCAAGTTCTTCTAGAAATACATACAAAAAGTAGCAGACTTAAAATCTTAAAATAAAGAAAGAAATAGAATTATAATATTCCTTCCTGTGTTTCGCGTATCACGTGATAAAATGCCGCTGTGCGCTTCCAAAGTACGTTTGAAAATGTTACCCTGATATTTTGGTTGATAGTTAATTCGTCTAGTTTGGGATTAAATATCACATTATGAAATATAGGATCGGATTAACTTCATTTGTTACACATATTATTCATGTTTATTTTATTCCATGTATCAAAACACCTCAAACACACAGAATGTGCAGTCCACCTCATACTGATATACGAACGCAAATATGGTTTATATAAGTATTCAAGCTGTAGACATTGCATGTAAAATCTTAATTTCATATTAAATTAGGAGATTTTCTTGAAATTCTAGTTTATCATTGCCTGGTTTGTTTCTAAAGTCACTCATTTCAGATTTCTCAAATATGGTTGATATCATCTTTGAGGCTGACAGAAATTCTGTCATTGAGGCCTATATAGTAGAAAAGAATTTTCAGAGAAATAGATATTGATTTTAGTTTCTTTGGAGAGCTTTTCAAGAAACGCGTTTGCAGAAGACATCTGTGTATAAAAGTTCACGCGAACTCTTGTCATCAAATCAACTTCCGATTTCGTATAAAAGAATGATAACCAGATTGAGCAAAGAAGGATAGTGTTTCGTATTTAAGTGAAGACCGGTTAGAAATGTGCGACCAATTTGTAACATTCGCGGCTCATTTATAACAATAATCTTCTGTTGATTGAAATGAGTTGGAGTTCGGTTGACGTGAGTTTAACGGAAACAGATGAAAGTCAGACATATCCTCTTTTAAGTCATTGTAAAGCGAAAATAATCAGAGTAGTAAAAGAAATAACAAATATTAATACTTATGTCGAGGTATTAATATCCTTGAGTTCAGAATCATTTAAATGTTCTATCACTTATTATGATTAACTATTTTCAAATTAGTTCCATGTTATTGCTACCATCCATCTAATATTGCGTCTAACACATTTTGGACTGATTTTCAACATCTGTATTTAAACGTGAAATAGTACCTTCAATATTGTCATTTGTATTTGTATTTATTAACATTTATTTCCTTCTCAACAGTACAATTTGAAACACAGTGTATATATACATGATATATGTAACAATTATTTCAACATAGAGTATACAGTAAATAATTCAGATACGGAAGGAGGCGAAAACCCGGAAAGCATAGCTTGAGTTGGGAACGCCCATAATAAGTTAACACAGATACCGAGAGAACATTATAGATATTATTAAAAGGGATGTTATATCGTTTTCTGCATTGCCTGTGGGAATGCATGATTATAGTTATGATAGTTAGTAAAGTAATATCAAGTAAATATAAATCAAATTACAATGCAAGAAGAAATAGTATATACAAAGACATCGTTATGTTTAAAGGTCTTGAAATGGACACTATAGCGACTCTTTCAAAACGAAGTTTGTGTATTTATGGTATAAGTGTTGATAATAATTTAAAGCGCATGTTAAATTGCGTTCATTTTCGGTATACGATGTAACTCTTACATCATTGTGTTAATGGCGTGTCAGTAAGATCCTGACGCAATCTTACGTCAAGCAAATGACGACTAGTCGGTTACGGGTATTATTTCGACAGACCGTTGATGTATGAAGTAATAGATTTTTATAATTTAAGTGTATAGTCCACAATTCATACAATCGTTCAATACATTTTGCATAAATATTTTTATTTCCTAATTATAGGCCTAACCTGTGTCGTATCTTTTGTATTTTTCAGGGAGATTCAACTCACACAAGACATGGTGGTGACTCTTCGACTCTAGACTATAGAGGGCTTTATCACTATGTACCCTGATTTTCGGCTTCATGATGTTTTGACCAGTTCTAATATTCGTCGAATGTGGTGAGTATTAAACTATATTGAGAAAGATTTAGATCGGACCTTCCATGTCGTCTATCTTCTCCAGTTAAAGTGTGTTAATAAGTTATGAACAAGTCGACTTGAATATGAGGGATAAAATCGCCGTCTCAAACTCACGTTCCAAGAAAACAATTAATGTCTGATTTGCACATTGGCGGAGACAGCATTGGCACATAACCCCTCTCCTTTCATTAGTGTATTAAGTTTTAGGAAATTCTAAAATTCTATCTGAATATTAATTAAGATACACCTTAAATAAATACTATAGAATACACTTGGAGTATTTTGTTAATACAAAATAATGGAAGAAAATAATTGTTACTTTGAATTGAATCAAATTTCAATTACCTTCCATCTTATTTAAAGGTTTGCATGTTATTTTTGATATTAGTCTTCATTTGATTATCATTATGAAAAGTAAATGTGCATATTGAGCATACAAACTAAAAATGAAATGAAAAGAATAGTTTAAATGTAACATTTAACTCGTTTTTTCGTCATTTTTCACGAGTTATGGTGCAGGAAAATTGTGTGTAGATTGGTCTCATTGCGGCCAATATTATAGGTATGATATGGGCCCGCAGAAGCTTAAATTATATAAGTCAGGGTTCAATTAGTATTAGGCATGTTGTGGGGTTTTGAAATCTCACGTGAAAAAGTATTCTAAGCATACTTTTCACAACCAAAGAGCGCCCATAGAGTCTATGCATATTGATGTCGCATGCTGGCGCTATAACCGTGATCAATAATGTCAGAGATGATTCTGAGCTAGAAGTTGGCGTAGGCTACAACGTATTCAACCATGCTTGTGACAAAATGGAAACGTCTCTTTGAAAGCAGGATATTTATGATTCAGTGTAGCGATGCAACTCTCTCTCTCTTTCTCTCTCTCTCTCTCTCCCTCTCATCTCCCTTCCTCTGCCCATGCCCAGTCTCTCTCTCTCTCTCTCTCTCTCCTCTCTCTCTCTCTCTCTCTCTCTCCTATCACCCCTCCCACTGCCCCTGCCCCATCTCCTCTTTCTATCTCTTACGCATCCCTTTGTATGTTTTTTTCTCAAATGTATCTAAATATAAATATGAACTTTCGTAAAAAGAACGCCCCTCCAGTGCAAGAGACCAATGCGTGACCAATATCATCATTCATCAATAAGATTAACCCTTAATACCCTCATCGCTATATCACCTTTTTGGGAGCAAATAGAATTGATTCTAAGTTAATTCTCGTCCGGATTTCTCGTAATAAGGAGGGGGTGTTCTATATTATTTGATATTGTATTATCATATTTTTTTTGTTTTGTTTACTTTACACAGAATCGATACTGGGTCAACTTCAACACATATGTTTTAATGGTTTCAGTTTCATGTGTACATGCACTACAGAGATTTAAAAACAAGGTGAAATTGCTTTATATTAATAATATTTGTCTATGTGTCCTTGAATGTTATTTGATTTTAGAAAGAAAAAAATGAAATAAACAAAAAGGGAGTAAAATTTGGGCCAAATAATGACTTTTAAAGGCAGCGTTTAACAATGTTAAATCTGAGATGCACGGCCCTACGTGATATCAGTCTCTGTGATATGGTGTAATATTGAAGCCCTAACAAAAATTGCGCTTCAATATGATCAAGAAGTGCCTCAAAAAGTAAAAAAATCTTTAAGTGCCGATTTTACCATACTCGTTTACCTCAATAGACTGTAGTGTTATAAAAAAAAACTTTAGGAAAACGAAAAAAATTGATTTCGATTTCCAATCATAAATATTTTGATAAATCAGACAGGCGATCGGATCGTAAAAGTAATGGGATTCCTGTCTGACCTTAAGGTTTATAATTATCATCTTAGCATGAGCTAAATCCAGGATTTTGTTTCAGAATCTGAGACAATGTTACCCAAACCCTTTAAATTTACTTCAATAATGCTTATGTAATTCAATGTCAATTCAATCATACTTGTGGGCGTGTTCTCATACTACCGCGTGGTTGATCGGATTATTAAATCTCAACGTTTTGTGTTCTTCTTCTTTTTTTTCTTTTTCTTCTTCTCCATCCAGTTGAGTACCGGCCTCTTGAATAGGGTATTTGTCGTATACTTTGTGAGGTGTTTTTGTGCCGTGCGCAGGGCGTGGTTGCGAAACTGTGCAACCGTCTGTCTGGAGCACTGGCATCGGCCTTGTTCTCCGGACCTTAACATTCCCTCCCGAGCCAGGCTATCGATTTCAACTTCATTACAAATCACCCCGTAAAGATAAAGAAAGGTCAGGGATTAGTTTGTGGATATGTTTGACTGATTTTCACAATTGACCGGGGTAATAGTATATTTGTAAAGCGCTTAGAGACATTTGTATTAAGGGCTATAATTATAAAAGCTGAATATTATTATTATAATTATTAAAAATGCAAAGATAATGAGTCCTATTCCCTGCTATTCCTTTACCCTTTTTTCGCTGACTTGACATTGCATTGCCCTTTTTATGAGTTTCGATTACATTCCCTGGAAAGGTTTAAAAAAAAAAAAAATCAATTTGGATTTAAAGGATTACTCCGAGTCAAATAAAGAATTCTATGTGCAGAGTCTCAGTTATTCCAAGACGGGGGTCGGGTGGAGGCCTCGTGGAAGAAAGAAAGAAAGAAACTGTCTAAAGAAATTACTTGGCTTTATTAAAATTAGAATGTTTTTTCTCTGTTTTAATTATTGTATCTAAACAAAGTGTTTTCTTTCATTCAACCATCCTTTTGAAAAAAAACATTTTTTTTAAGTAAAAGAAGATTTGTCCTCTCTTCCCGTGATAGCGCAAGACTATCTTCTGACGATAGTTCTAGTTTTGCCCAAGTCCGTCGATCGAGTAAATAAAGGCGCAGTGCTGGTCGTTCCACGCCTGCATCCTTTATAGTTATTTAAGTTTTTTTCAAGCTCTAATTTCTGCTTTAAATTTTGACGCAGAGGAGGAAGGGGGAGGGGTAATCGTGGAACATATCCCTGTTTCAAAAGAGATCGAAATTTGCCATAACTTAGGATGGAAATGAATGGGAAGGATTTAATGTTTGAGACGGACAGACAAAGCCTGGGTTATAGGAAAACGAATGGGCTTAAAATACATGTACGAAAGGGAAACGAAGAGGGAAAGAAAGAATGAGAGAGAGAGAGAGAGAGAGAGAGAGAGAGAGAGAGCGGGCAAGAGTAAGAGATAGAGAGACAGATAGAGAGACAGACAGACAGAAAGGGGAAATGAGTGATGAGTCGGGAAGTGATGGTTTTTAATGTTTGTTTGTTTTATTTATTTATCCACGATTAAAAACACCTGCTATCAGCCACAAGGCTGTTTTTCAGCAAGTCCGTTAAAAACATTCACACAATATACATAAACAAAACAAATATAATTCATAATACAAATTAAAATAACAAGAATACACATGTGGAAATAACAACAAGAATACAAATGTCTAAATAAATAAATAAATAAATAAATAAATTCTTAATAACAAAAATACAAATGTGTAAATAACTCTTAATAACAATCAGAAATTGGAGGAGAAATACAATTTATTAAAGTCACAAGCTCCTTATCACAAATGCTCTGTTTTGTAATATCTGAAGCTTCTTTAGGTGCCCAGATTCGGGTTTCATCCAAATCGTACTACAATAATCAAAACGAGATCGGATCATCGTATTATATAATAGCAGAGCAGTCCGTTGATCAATAAATGGTCTAGCTCTTCGTAAGACAAAAAAGTTCCGTAGTATTGTTGATTTCGCCCTTTCAATTTGTGGTGTCCATGAAAAATCTGTATCAAGTATAACACCGAGATATTTACATTGATCGACTCTCTCTAGGGGACAATTGTCAATACAGACATTAATGTTCTCAAAATCTTTACGTTTACATTTTGTTCCTATGACCATAAACTTAAATTTCATTGCATTTAGCATAAGTTGATTATGCAATAACCAATCATGAATAACACCTAAATATTCATTGATTATACACTGAAGACTATTTGGATCTCTAGATGCGTAGTATAAACATGTGTCGTCAGCAAACATTGATACAGTGCAATGCTTGACAACAAGCGGTAAATCATTCATGTATAATATGAATAACAGTGGCCCCAATATACTTCCCTATGGGACGCCACAAATTACTTGGTTTGCTTTTGACCCGTTACCGTTAATAATAGTAATGTGTTTTCTCAAAGAAAAATAATCTCGAAACCAACGTAAAGATTCATTGCTGAAACCATATATCTTCATTTTTTGTAAAAGAATATCATGTGACACCATGTCAAAAGCTTTTTCAAGATCCAACGTTACCAATCCAATGACATGACCTGTATCTATCGCTGTATTCACATTTTCTGTTAGATTCAATAAAGCTAACTCTGTTGAAAAGCGTGGTCGAAAACCAAACTGATTTTGTACCTATATCTCGTTATCATTCAAATATTTATAAGTTTGCCGAAAAACAAGCTTTTCCAAAATTTTAGAAAGTACTGGCAACACAGATATAGGTCTATAATTCGACGGGTTGGTGCAATCGCCTCCTTTAAAAAGAGGTGTTATTCTGGCGCACTTCCATTCATTTGGTACAATGCCTTCACGTAAGGATAAGTTAATTATATGAGCCAGAGATTCAACAATAGTAAGCGACGAATCCTTCAAAATACTCGATGGTATAGTATCAAGACCAGTAGCCTTATTACGAGGAGTTTCTTTAATACATTTTTTAACATCTTCACTGGTAACTGGAACAAAATTGAAGGAAGTGTTTACTTTACAAATAAACTGTCCTGGATTATCTTTAAATTTAACGTTTTTTTTACGGTTTGTTGCCAGTGAGGAAAAATACTCATTCATTATATTAGCAATGGAGCTGTTTCCAATGTATTCTACCCCACAAAGATTAATTTTCTGTATTGTTGTAACTTTTTTACTACTTGGTATCAATTCTCTCAGAACTTTCCACATCATTGCGGAATTCCCGACGTTCTCAATAATACTGTCCATAATGTATTTTCGCTTAGCCTTTCTCACAAAAGAAGTAACTTTATTACGTAATTGCTTATAACTTGACCAATCAGCGTCTACTTTAGACCGTTTTGCCTTCTGTTTGGCTTTATTTCTATCTCGAATTAATGTCAGTATTTCACTTGCCATCCAAGGTGACTTCTTGTGCCTAACCCGCTTCCTTTTAACAGGGGCATGCATATCCAATATAACTCTGAACTTTTTAACCCATATTTCGTATGCTTCCTCAGTTGAATGTTTACATAGTACATCGTTCAAAGATATGTTACGTAAGTCTTGAGCAAAGGATTCAAGGTCAATTTTCTTTATATTGCGAGAAGAAATATAGCAATGGTTTCCACTTGAAGTTGGTTTACTCTTTCCCCATGAAAATATAACCATATCGTGATCACTTAAACCGACAGATACGACAGAACATTCTTTTACATTTTCAGCATTTGATGAAAAAACATGGTCTATTAGTGTCTCAGACGAACTTGTAACCCTCGTGGCGGTAGTTACACATTGTGTTAAACTATAGTCGTCTGCAAGTCTCTGTAATCGTTTTGTATTATTTGATGGGTTTCTTTGTAAGAGATCACAATTTAAGTCACCAATTAGTATATAGTCACATAATTTGGCTTCAACGGTCTGCAAAACAGTCTCCAACTTATCAAACACTCCGATGTTAGAATCGGGTGGTCTGTACCAGCACAATAAAATAACAGGTTTTTGTTTATTTAATTTTAATTGAATACAGGAGAGTTCCAATTCCTGCTCATGGCATTCTGATAAAGTAACATAATCAATAGAATCACGGACATAGATAATCACTCCTCCGCCGTTTCTGTTTCTATCTCTTCTAACTGCTCTGTAACCTTCTACTGAAATTTCCTCGTCTGACACGGACGCATCCAGGCGAGTTTCTCATAAAGTAATAACATCGATCTTAGACTCAATTAAAATAAGACGTATTTCATTAATATTTTTCAACAGCGAACATATATTTAAGTGTGCTGTACACATCCCTGAGAGGATTTTTCGTTTACTAAAAACTTCTTTATAATTTATATCATCGACAATAATTGGTGTATTTTGACTTGTTTTAGAATGTGTATTGTGTTTATCATGAAAAGAATAAATAACATGACATGGAAAGAGCAGCGTTGCAAATCAACAAATGGGTGTTGTATCAATGATTTTAGAAAAATAAATGTGCCAAATCAGAACGTTTAGCATTTGACACTATTTTAACACGATTCTGCAAGATTTATTTGAAGTGAAATCCACATCTGACTTTTCTGAAATTGTGGCATTTAGACGGGACATAATACTTTTTGGGCCGAAGGGGCATGGGTGCGGACGGAATGAACTTATGTTTCTGTGTTCTTATACCCCTCCTCTTTTCCTTTCTCTCTCTTTATCTCTCTCTCTCTCTCTCTCTCTCTCTCTCTCTCTCTCTCGCTTACCCCTCCCTACATACCCAACCCCTTCACCGATCGATCCCGCCCCGCTCTATGTCCATATCCTTTAGACTCCATTTTCCGTCTAGGAACTAGCATGAGGCTTGTTTTATAATATCTCCCATTTGGCCATTAATTTTAATGAGTTCTTCGCGATTAAAAAGTTGCAAACTGCCTTTAATAGTATAATTTTAATGTCAAATGTCTATCAAAACATCGCTGCGCGAAGTGATATCCAGGATACAGCCTGGGGGGGGGGGGGGGGGGGTTGACATGCGTTCGAGTAATTGCTTTTGTCACCCCTGACCAGCAGCTTTCCTAACACTGTTTGCATGTATTATGAAATTTCTATGTATAATCTTATTGATTGGTCAAATAAATGATAATGATAATCTGTAAACTTATGTTGGACGTTCTTTCTCGTGAAAAAAAGTAATTTTTAATAAATTGGTCAAAATGATATCTTGCAAAAATTTGCAAAAGAAATTATTACACAGTTGTAATTGGTAAATGATTGGCACCGCCTTACCAAGCTTCGAATTACAAAAGTACATTGACCTAATGATTCATGCGCAAACGAAACGAAATGAACTTTGCTGGATCAGACAACGGATTTAAAACTATTTTGAAATCGAAAGTACATATGATATGTATAGAAATGGAATACATTGTGGTTTGCAAAAAAACAATTAATCAAATGTTCTCTATTTTTTTACAACGAAACACTGTTATCAATGATTTTGAAATGCAGGATGTGTAAATGGGAAAATCCCTAAAAAGTTTCAAAAGAAATTCAGCAGATTTTTAATGAAAATCGTTCATTAAATCCTTTTTCTGTTAGTGTACATTAAATGGATATATATGGTTCAATGATTCAAATTTATGTGCACTTTCTCATAGTACATAAACATGTACAATAAAATATCTACACGTCCAATCTATTCATATCGTTATTGCATGATAAAAAGAAACAAGAAAATAGATAAAAATAGAAGCGAGATGGTGAGAAAGATAAGAATATGAGGAAGACAATAAATGAAACATAACCAAACCTAAACAGTTGTCTTGATTAAATAGAAAAATGAAGAATAAACACTTTATTCTTCATCTATATGAAAATTTATTCCATTCATTTTTAAAAAAATTTCTTTTTGGTTGATGGGACGGACATTGGACAAATGCCAGTTTCGACCCTCCTGTTACCGCAACTTTAATTGCATACTTGAATAATAGACTGATTTTGATAGATTCACCTTTTCGTTACAGTTGTCATGTTTATCGCCAAAAATTAATGTTGATTGTCCCTAATGGAATCCAATTATCCGCACCATTTCATTCTTTCAAAATATTTAATTCAGATGTCCATCAAATCCGTTGCCATTTGCATTTTGTTTCGATACAAATTATTCAGCAAATAAAACCAAGTTGAAGTTTGAGCGTGATTTGTAAGAAGTACATTCAAAAGTCCACCCACTTTTTAGAAGTGGTTTAATGATTGCTGACCCTATGTATATAATCAAGTTATGAAAATATTTACCTAAGAGCTCGTAGGCGGGGCTACCTTTGTATTTTGAAGAAAATTGAAATATGTTTTGGAATTCAACTATCGTGCGGGTTGGGGCGACAAATTGGACTAATTTATCGCCCGCCCCATCTGTTAAATAGCTTTTATCTTCCATAATTGGGTAGTGTTTGAAGTGTTTTAGCCCGGGGCGTGGTGACAAATTATTAGCTATTAAAACCATTAACAAGATATTTTCTCTCTTTTTACCCTCAGGCACCTCTGTTTATCGTCATTTGAGGTCGGTTCGTCGCGGATATAGCAGCGATTACGTGTGTTGGTTATATTTACATCAAGAGACTGTTTCTCTTCTTCTCGAAGCGAAAACGGATTTTATGAATATCAGATTTTCAAAAGGTTTTTAGTTTGGACATCTACATAGAGGCTCCATGCCTTCCGAACTCTGAGCGAATTCCAGTGAAGTTTATTTTCTGAAAGCAAATCTAAAGACCTGACGATGGAGAACGATCCGAATACATTTTCTATTCGGTTAGTGAAGAGACCGCCGCACGGTCTCGGATTCTTGGTGCGTAAGAGAAAGTGCAACCCGCCTGTTTTGATTTCGGATTTGATATCCGGAGGGGTTGCGGAGAATTCGGGGCTGGTTCGGATAGGGGATATACTTCTGGCGGTTAACGGCGTTCAACTTACAGATGTGCCTTATAACACTGCACTTGAGGTTCTTCGCAGCGTCCCAATGGACACGCCTTGTGTGATCGTTTTAAAAGGTCCTGAAGGGTACCGCACTCGCTTGGAAACCGTCATGTCGCCTGACGGTGCTGTCAATATCGTGCGGATAACCGAAGCGGAGCAGACAGATGAAACGCCAAACAAGACGTCTCCGGGTATTGGGCCCAAGAAGCAGCGGCGCTCTAGTCGAGATAGCTCGAGAAGCCCTACGCGCACACCTTCCTCGACATGGCCGCGCAATGCCCATATACCAAACTACGACAGTACCATCTACAATCAAGCTCAACTTCATAACGGAATGATCGTACATGGGAGTCATCAACCACCTCGACCACGGACTCATACACCGGACAATAGTCCGTATCGCTATGGGAGTCCTGCGCGTAGATCGCGACGTGATCGAGATAGTAGTCGATCTCCCGCTCGAGGTAGTCTACCGACAAGTCCCGTGAGAAATTTCAGCTACCGCGAACCCTCCCCTTGCTGCTGCACACGCCACAGTATTCCCGAATACCAGAACGTCTTCGCCTGGAACGGCACCTATCCTCGTGATGTCTACCAGCTGAAAATTCTACAACAGCAACAGCAGCAGCAACAGCAGCAGCAACAGCAGCAACAGGCACACGAAGACTTTTACTACGACAGCCCCCGGACATCTGTAGACTACGACATAGAAGGAGAACGCGCGCGTAATCAGGGAATGTCCCTGATTGAAGAATCACACGAGTATCAGTCCGAGAGCAAGGGCATCCAGTGTCCTGAGAGGGTGATCACCGTGCGAAGCCCTGGCTTCTCATCCCCGGAGAAAGAAACACGAGATATCTACGTCAACTTTGCCAACGGATCACGTGACCACAATGAGGTCAAAAGTGAGTCCCATTCAGAGTCAGAGCGGCCTGCGGGGGTGCAGCGAGCCAGGACAGATCCACACGACCGACAGGAGTTTAGTCAACAAACACCGCCCGAAGAAGGAACATCGCACAGCGTGAACTTGCTCAAAGAACCACTAGTGAACGGCATTGAACCGAGTAACGTCAGCAGCATCAACGGGACCCTAACCCCTAATAGGAAAAACTCAAGGGTTAACGGAACTCTAGTGAACGGGACAGCAGACGGTATGGGTGCAGGGTGTTCCGCCAATGGGGTTGTCTCTGTGCCTGAGGGGGTCAAACAGGCCGGGAGCTACTCCATGAAAAATGGTGCTCCTTCCATTAAGCAGAACAAAACAAATCATATCAACGGAAAATCGAACGGCATCCTTATCGAACCCACACCAATTAACAACGTCTCGACCAGTGAGATATCAATCCAAACAGACCCGATTCCAGCTCTCCAGGAGAATAATTCTTCCAGTAAGAACCCAGAAACCCAACAGAATGGAGGAATTCCACCAACTACCAATGGTCCTAACCAAGCTGGTCCAGTGTGCCCATTCACCAAGAAGCAGGCCAAATACGTCAGACTTCATAATGTTGCCGATGGAAAACAATTCACAGATACCTTGCATCAAAAGTCATTCATTGTAAGTACATCAATATTTTATATCTATAATTCACTTGATGACAATCTTTGAATGACGGGATTTTAAAGATAAATAATGTTATCCAGAATCGCTTATATTTAAGTATTTCACTTCTCTATCATCTCTATATGTTAAATAATAAAAATTATATTTAAATGATTGATGAACGCAAATATCCAAGGACCGAAGTTTACAGATATCAGTGTTATTCAGTTTGTTGGAGTCTTGATCAAAGTCATTCTGTTTTATATAATCCGTTCTTCGTCACTTTTTTCCTCCACCCCCTTTCCCCCATCACTTTATTTGGAAGCAAAATTAAATCGTTAAATGTCCAAAACTTTTCAAACTTTTCAAACTCTTCAAACTGTTCAAACTTTCTAACCATATCCAAACTTTTCAACTCAATTAATTTCATACTGACGAATAGTATTTGTTCCTAGTTGTAATAAGTATCCTGATTAATAATTAACTTACCACTGACACCGAATTCAAATATGCAAAAAATTATTCGGGGTTGTGTAAAATCAGATAGCCATCTTTTCCTGTTTGTAAAAAAACAAAAAGCTTGTTAGATATCTGTGCTATGTGACTTCTTTGCTAAATGTTCTGTCCGCGTGTTAATTCTTGTCAAATGAGCCATTTTCGAAATGTAATCCAATTAAATGCACACATCTTTGTTAAATGCCTTGTTACAAAATATTTTATTCACTTGAACGAATAATTGTATTTCAATAGTCAAAATGTGAATTGCACATATTACGTGTCGATAATTTGGACAAGCCGTAAATATTGTCCTACCTAGCACCAATTAATATATGCAATCGCATTCTGACTTTTGAAATACAATTACATGTATTTGTAACAGGAGAATAAAATAATTTGTAAAATGGCACTTGACAAAGATTTATACATTCAAGTTGATTGCATTACGAAAATGGTCTATTGTAATGAGCACGACGGATTGAGAGGTAAATAATGCTTTTCCTTTATAACCAGATAATTTTGAGGGATGTAAAAAGAACTTTGGTTAAAGGCCACGTTAGCTTTGTGTTTTATGATCATAGTACATGTAGGTCCATGGTCTGGTACCCTGTTTTAAATGAAAGTGTCTGTATAATCGTAAATATTTGTGGCGCTTCGATTCGCATGTCATCAAATTTTCTTCAGTAAGTTATTTAAAAAATATAAACTAATAGAAAATGGTATTTAACTTGTGACTATGACTAAATATTGATTTGATAGGGACAAACTTTGCCTTGGTGTGATGCTAATATGAATAACTGTAATATAAGGACAATTACTTGGCAGTATAGTTAGTATGGCGGCGAAACCTTTTACAGAGTTGGAGAATTTGTTGAAATTCTAAATTAGTCCGCTTATTTTTTTTTGTACTATAATGTTGTACATATTCACGAAATCATACAGTCATATATTAAAGTATATACAGCTATCTTTCAAATAAGTATTTTCAGGCATACTGCTCCTGTGTCTGCAGTGCCATGTTCATCTATTCTCTCACACATGAATGCCTTCAGTCGACCAATTAGGGTTATGCATGTATATTTCATTGCTATTCATGCACTTGAACGACCATTCAGAATAAGCAAAAAACAACAGATGTTTGCGAAATGTTACAAACAACACGATCTCATTTGATTCAAACTTCGGATGTAGATTTCATTGCTATTCAAGCACCTTTAACGACCATTCAGAATAAAAAAACAACAACAGATGTTTGCGAAATGTTACAAACAACAAGATCTCATTTGATTAAAATTTCGGATTTATACCACTGTCTATAGAGCACGAAAACGCTGGTGGATAGCACTAGGCAATTTGTCGATATCTTTTTAATGGTTTTGGAAAAGAATTATAGCAAGGTGGAGTAAGGGAAATAAATAAATGAAGTTTGAATATGCTTGATGTTTGTTGTAAGTTGGCATGGCGACACATCAATATGAGATCATTAATCACTACTGGAAAGAAAGATGCATGGTTTTCTAATAAAAGTACAGCAGACTTAGTGAAAAGACACATCCGAACTAACCTATAAAGTTTCTATCCGAAATAGATAGGATAGCCTTCACTAAAAAAAAGACGATTCATGCAACTATAACAAAAGAAGAGAATAGTATAAAGGAATCTTTGAATAGAACGCGGGATAAATGAGTTATATGATTTCTGCCAATATTTCACGCGAGGATTAAGTCCGTGAATGTACAAAATATGCATTAGGTGTTGATTGAATCTTTTAAATTGACCCTTATAGTCACCCATATCAATTTTGAAAGGATATGCTTTAAAAATATTTTCTTTTAACCCGCCGAAAGTGGACACTCATTGAAAGAAATATGAATGAATTGTGTGTTCTCTCCCTCTCTCTCTCCCTCTCTCTCTTTCTTTCTCTATTCCTCATTTTTCTCTTTCTCTGTCTTTCTCTCTTTGTCTCTTTTACTTTATCTCTCTCTCTCTCTCTCTTTTCTTCTTTCCCCCTCTTTCTCTCTTTTTCTTATTCCCTCTTTCTCTATCTTTCTTTCTCCCTTTTCTCTCCTTTTCTTTCTCTCTTTTTCTGTCTCCCTCTTTCTCTCTTTTTCTTTTTCGATCTTTTTCTCTTTTTCTTTTTCCTCTTTCTCTCTTTTTCTTTCTCCCTCTCTCTCTATTTCTTTCTCCTCTTTTTCTATTTTTCTTTCTCCCTCTTTCTCTCTTTTTCTTATTCCCTCTTTCTCTCTTTTTCTTTCTCCCTCTCTCTCTATTTCTTTCTCCTCTTTCTCTATTTTTCTTTCTCCCTTTTCTCTCTTTTTCTTTCTCCCTCTTTCTCTCTTTTTCTTTCTCCATCTTTTTCTCTTTTTTTTTCTCCCTCTCTCTCTATTTCTTTCTCCTCTTTCTCTATTTTTCTTTCTCCCTTTTCTCTCTTTTTCTTTTTCCTCTTTCTCTCTTTTTCTTTCTCCCTCTCTCTCTATTTCTTTCTCCTCTTTTTCTATTTTTCTTTCTCCCTCTTTCTCTCTTTTTCTTATTCCCTCTTTCTCTCTTTTTCTTTCTCCCTCTCTCTCTATTTCTTTCTCCTCTTTCTCTATTTTTCTTTCTCCCTCTCTCTCTCTATTTCTTTCTCCTCTTTTAAAATAGTATAATTTAAAGAGGCTAAGCCTTATTTTTGAAGGGGATTACCTTTGGCATAAAAATAAAACTAATCTTTTTTTTACCAACTATCCTTTGGAATTCGTAATGACCATTGAAAACTTCACAGTTACTGCCAGTGATGGTGCTTACTTAACGTATCGAGAAGAAATTTGGCAATTTAGGATTTGTCCTTCCTCCCCCTCTCCCCCCTCCCCCTCTCCCCTCTCCCCCTCTCCCCCTCCCCCTCTCCCCCCCCTCTCTCTCTCTCTCTCTCTCTCTTGCTCTCTCTCTCTCTCTCTCTCTCTCTCTCTCCTAACTATCATTTCTATTACCCTATCTCCAAATCCACCTGTCTACCGATTCTCAATAGAAAACACATCCATCAAAGGATGATTCAAAAGCCAAGTCAATGATAATTTATCTTGTTATGAACAAAGAGCTTTATTGTGTTCTTTATAATCTCTAAAATATCTCCTAGATTTGAAGGTCAACCAATGACAACCTCTCGTACTAATGTAGGTTAATCCCTAAGACCCATCTATCGATTTCATCGCAACATATTTTCAAACGCTAGGTATTTAATTGGAACTGAAAAGGCAGTGCCCCCCCCCCAACCAAAAATAAATAAATAACAAAATCGAATACGTTTTATGTCGTGTCATCCTCCGCATCTCATTAACTGCAATTTTGTTTTTGTTTTAATCTAGAGTAATTCAATGCTAACTAATTACTTAGTCGTCCTTGTTATCAATTTTGTGAAACAGAATACCCAAAATGCTTAACCATATATCAATACGTCATTGTTTCGGTCTTCGAGGAGGTACATGAATGGACGCACATGATATATCAGACTGAGATATTCAACATTTTCAAGACAAGTCACCATTCATACCGTAGTATGACACACTTATCGCGTGTGTATAAAAATTCATTTGATCAATGTAACCTCGTAAATCACCAAATACATTATGTTAATACACCTTCGAATAATGATATAATCTGAAAAGTCCAAGAATCAACAATTGTTGTCAAGATTTGAGATCAAGTCCTTTATCTCTCTTTTTTTCTCAATTTCTTTCCCATTTTCATCGTCTGGCTCTGTGTCTCTTTTTTTCCCTCTCGTCTTTAATGATAGGATGATTAACTTATTTATCGTTGCCTAGAAACACACTTTAGGGAGATCCGATCTATTCTTAACAAGTTCAAGCCGTGTTTTGACTATAGAAAAGGGCACCGTTTCCTCTGCCATCGACTTCAATCTGCATATCCGCGTCTACGGCTGACGCGCTATGCGAGAAAGCGCACGGTATTGTTAATTTACAGAACGACTGTACAATTCAAAGGCGCTTTATATAGTTACGTGGAAAATAGGGCAATGGGGACGTTGCTATCAAGAGGTTACACTCAAACACGAAGATTCGCACACGCAAAAAGAGGAAAAGCAAACAGAAATGTCGAGTTTGTCCAAGAGATCAAAAGACTTGATATCTTGATTCCTACATTGTTGACAGATTTTCTTGAAGTGTTTGAAATGGCGGGATTAAGTGCCATTTATAGGGGGCTGAAATTCGTCTCACCATTTAAGAAATGCACTCTGTTTTTGTAACGGGTATATATCATTTATATTTAGAATAATCTGTTTTAGGATTGATTGAACTAGTAACAACATCTCCTGTTTAATAGGAATGATTAGGATGTTTTTTTTTAATTATTAATTAGCATATAGTTGTGCCACTTTAACTTACTAATAATGTTCATTCATGTGAGATATTATAGGTCCAACGTTTTGCTTGAACTGTGCATGAATATGAATGTATCGGTACTGCGAACTTTATCAACGTTATTATTCGAATCGGATATCCTATTACTTTAAGGGAGTGTGC